CTTTATATAGTAATTACAAGTATTATGCTTTTTCTACCTCTTAATGCAAAGAGAGTGTAACTATAAATTCTGCACTATGACACAGTAATGCGGTTGCACCACTGCAGGCCATAGCCTCCTCTAGCTCTTAATGCATAGAGGGTGGACAACTTATGTGAGCAGAACATACGAAATTAAGACCTGTGTTCACGGCACTACTCCATCTCTGAAATAGAAACTAGAACCAAATGTTGGATTTAGAGGTTTATACAAATGAGTCCAAACTTTCCTACAGATATTATGCATAGTTCTTAATGCATAGAGGGTACAACGTTATCGATCACGTGAATAAATTCTGTGCATTAAAATTTACTTATGACACTTTAGGCTACTGCAAAAGCTCTTTAAACGATCATAAATGAAACTAGTATGCAGTATAAGAAGTTCCAATTTACTTGTAATTTTTTGTGATAAGTTGATCGTTCATCGGTTAAAGGCAGTGTGTCAGCAGAATATGCGTACCGGGATTTTTGCGGTTTAGGAATGTTCGTGGTCCACTTTAACCCTATGCGGATCGAAATTTGATGAAAACCGCAATAACTCCGCTTTTTGAAGACCCCCGCGTAACTAAGAGGACGAGATGTCCCCGCCACTCGCTCCAGAATGGCGTCACTTGCAAAGACGTAAGCAGGTATTTGCCATTCCCCTTGCGAAATGCAGCTTTTTCGTCAAAATCATTGTAAATCCGTTAAGGTCGTTGTGCTATTACATGCATGTCATATCAGAGACTCATTGTCCATGTTCAGTGAGTTTTAATGTTATAAGGTTAGTAAGGTCAGTACGAGGTTTGTGATCAGCTGATGATTCGAAGTGTATGCCCAAGAAGTTTTGAGCTTTTGCGATAGTCACTATTGCATTTGTGTAATCCCTGCTTTGTTGTTGCGTTATTTGTGAAGGCGAGATGTATCTATTTAGACATAGTGTGAAATCCCTCGTTTGCAGATGCTAGCTAAAGCATTTTAGCTGGTCTGTCGGAGGATATACATGGATGGGCTCCCTCGATCGAATGTATCTTACAAGGGAAGGATACTTAATCGCACTGACGATTGGGTAAGCGGTGTATACTGCGTATACCGTCCCCAGACGGTGATCTCTAAACCGCAATCCATATCTGCTATGACGTCATTCTGGAGGAGTTATAAAGGATTCTTGGTGCAATGGATAGTGGCTTGCACTGCGGAGCTGGACGTCGTGGGCTCGATTCCTCTGGGATTCCACCCGTTTTGCATTTTTGTAAATCTTAGCAGGCAAGTTGCAAAACCTGTCTATTTTTCAAAAAAGTTGATTTTCACAATATGAAGCAATATATTTACATTTATTGGCACTGAACCACCGTCTAACCTAAAAACGCTCGTTTTTAGCCTTTTCATTAAATACTTTACGCAGTTTTACATTGAAAAATTCTGAATTTGTGCTTAACATAGAGAGGAGCAGCTAACGAAAATGGCGTCTTCATTCATTTTTTGATGCACAATATGTATGAGTAAAGTTTTTAATGAAAAAGGCTAAAAACGAGTGTTTTTTAGGTTAGACGGTGGTTCAGTGCCAATAAATGCAAATATTAGGTCGTTTCAAAAGTAATTTCGCTTTTTTCAAACGAGCGCCACGTTTGATGGAACAAAGTTTTCTAAGAGATCCCGGAAGCATTCGATGCACCATTTCATCTTCTTTCTAATGGTTATGAAACTGTTGCAAAACAGTCAATGAGCTTTCAGAAAATAACCAAAATCTGCGACCTATGCTTTTTGAGATAGTCAAGTTTCACGATTTTTCAAAACTTTCATATCAAACCTCAGAAGCAGTTCAAGTAAAGATTCGATTGAGTAAACCTTAAAGAATACAGTGCTACTTTTTTCCCTTTCTCGGAGCTCGCCGTAATTTTTTAAAAGATTTTTTAACAGAACCATCGGATTTTGATAGGCCCACCTCAACCATAATCACATCAAACATCATAATTTTTCGGAATTTGAGACCACCAAGATGGTACTATGAGTTAGCATTGAGTTTACAAAGCAAGTAAGGGCTTACGGGTTCGAAATATCAAATTTCGAGTTTTTCGGGTACATCCTGGGGCTCGCCAAAAAATGAGTTATGATGATTTCTAACCGAAAACTAACGAAGCGGAAACAAAAAACACTTGTTAAAACGAGGAGAAAATGCTGCATCGAATAGTGCGCGAGCTGCTCTTCTTTTGATGTTCTACAAGGATTTAGCCGCCCAAGTATGAAAATCGGTAGCATCAGTTAAAATTCTGTTAAAAATGTATGACAAGCTATGGAAAGGAGAAAAAGCAGTTTTGCATTCTATAAGGATTGCTCTATCGAATCGTTACTTGAACTCCTTCTGAGGATTGATATGAAAGTTTTAAAAAATCGTGAAACTTGACCATCTCAAAAAGCATGGGTCGCAGATTTTGGTTATTTTCTGAAAGCTCATTTATTGATTTGCAACAATTTCATGACCATTAGAAAGAGAATAACATTCTGCATCGAATGCTTCCAAGATCTCTTAGAAACCTTTCTTCCTTCAAATGTGGCGCCCGTTTGAAAAAAGCGAAATTACTTTTGAAACGACCTAATATATTGCTTCAAATTGTAAAAATCAACTTTTTTCAAATGTAGACAGGTTTTGCGATCTGCCTGCTAAGAACAAAAATGCAAAACGAATGGTCTCCCAGAGGAATCGAACCTACGACGTCCAGTTCTGCAGTCCTGCCACTATCCACTGTACCAAAAATCCTTTATAACTCCTCCAGAATGACATCATAGCAGATATGGATTGCGGTTTAGAGATCACCGTCTAGGGACGGTATACGCAGTCTACACCGCTTACCCAATCGTCAATGTGATTAAGTATCCTTCCCTTGTTAAAAAATATTGAGAGTGCCATATTGCGTTTCGCCACCACTTCCAAGGCTTGCAATCTAGGTAATTCGTTGTAGTTCTAGTTTTACTTCAGTATATCCTTGCATAGGTGCGTATAACATCTGAAAGCACGTAAAGGTAATAGTAGCTGTATCTCACTTAATGAATTTGCTGACACCGGGATATTGGCAATCTGCTCGATTACTGTAGAGCTTTATTTTTGCTTATTGAAGCGAGTTCATTCCGCAGCAGTTTGCTCATCTCTCCGCACCTTCACTCTACCAACTTCTCAAAAGGTATATTACAGCTGATAATAACAGTTTGCGCTGCTTTAACACCAAAATAATCTAAGAACTCACATCATATACTACACGTAATCGTCGGGCTCAACCGGGTGAGGATGTCCTTCTCTTATACCATTTATCGAGAACGACTCGAAGGTATGCATCCGCTCTTTTCTTTTCTTTCAACGTTTAGGTTTGTCTCATTTTCTGGACAGTTATATTGTTTTCTCAGGTTCCCATCTTGATGAATGCTCTCGATCAAAGCGGTCTTTCACCTGGAACTTGCGCTCTCCTCTGGTCATCTAAATATGACAGCTGTTGTCCAAAATTGTGAGTAGCAATGTAATATATAAAGCAGGCACGTTCATTCTCCGGCGAATGATCAAAAAAGGCAAGTTTTCTGACACGTTCGCCAGGCTTTTTGGCTGAATGAAGTTTCGATTATTTTATCTATATTTGCGGGAGCAGATCTCTTGTCCATGAAAAATCGCGATCGAATTTACTTCACTTCTTTGCCGTTACTCCTCTAAATCACGCTGATGGCAGAATGAGCTGAATGTCGGCTCAGTAAAATGTCATGAACGCGCAGGATTACAAAAACAGATTAGTATTATTTTGCTCTTTTGATTTTTGAAATTTTTTTAGAACAGCCGTAATTCTCAATATCGCTAGCGGGAATCTTTCTCTGGCAGATATATTATTGTCAATGTAGCCGATTTGGTCAAGTCTGATGTCAATGAAAGATCCTCTCCGTCGCTCTTTTCGAACGAAACGATGTTGCTGTCACGACCAACAATCATTGGTCGTGGTGCTACGAGTGTCGTCAGCTATCGCATAAATAAAGGTTCTCTTTTCGATGCTTGACTAATTTCTTCGATTTTTTTTGCGATAGCGACACTGGTGGGAATATCGCACATTTGATTTGCGGAAATCATCAAGGGGTGGAGCTGTACTTTTTTACCTTTCAGTTCGTCTGAAGTGAAACTTACTCACACATTGTTGATGCTCGTAATCTTGGCGCTAGAGAAACGGGTGACAACACTGCTTGTTCGGGCCAATCGGACCTGGGGATCGAAGCAATTGTTAACAATGACAAAAGATCTAAACCCTGTTTTTGGCAGAAATTCAGATGCGAGATTGTACAAACGCAGAAGGTACGAAGGGACAGCACAGTTTGCCGAAGTTGTGAACGGATTCAAGTGCGCAATCAAAGAATCCTTCGTTGACCGTGTCCCCTCATCATGTAGTAATTAGGCCGTCGCGCTTTCACGAAGTTCTCGTCCAAGCGGCTTGCAGTTCAACCGTTGAAACTGGTGAATTGCTTGTTCAAAGCGCTAAAGATTTAAACTATCAGAATCTCACAAGTTCATATTGTGGAATAGGGCAAGCTCCACGTGATTTCAGTCGCGCGGTTTGGTAACGACCGATTGCTTAAAGTAAAGGGCATAATGACATTCAGAAAACTTAACGCTGTATATTTGTAATCTCTGGCACGTTAAATCACGTAAAGTATGCTAGAGGCCATGTTAACAAAAGGTTTCATTAATATCTCAAGCTAATACTCTTTCCGCCGCCTAATCGAGCGCATGCAGTGAAGAATAATACTATTAGGCTGTTGCTTTTGACCTCGCTTCAGCGCATCTGTGCATGCCTATTTACGAATTATGAAAAGTTTACAGTTGACGTGAGCGCCGAAAAGGTTGAGGAATGGGCACTGCTAGCTTTTGCTCTATCCTAGCACCTCCAACTTTGAACTCATTGGTCACTTCTATTCGCAGAAACTTATTGGTAAAACATTTATACAAAAAATGATGTTCGACAACAAATTTTACTAGCAAGACGTTTTCTTCTTGAAACTGAGCTTCTGCATATACAAGCCTTCTATGTCCTTATTCCGCAACCAATGAAAGAACTTGACTTGAAATGCGCATTGTGAAGATTTCTTCGCAAGAACATATTTCTAGGGTGAGAACGTACGTCATATAAAGATTTAGGCCTGAAATCTCCTTATACTAAGAAATTCATTAAAATTTGATACGCGTTAGAAAGAGCAGGAAAAGCACTTTCTAATGACACTAACAATATCGCATTAGAGATGAAATTCTCTTAGAACAGCTGCTTAAAACATAAGGCAAAAAAAATCGGACAGAGCTTATGCAGCCCTAATACTTACCTTTTCTTTCTTCCGTAAATGAGAATAGTTCCCAAGCAACCATTACTGCTTTTCGATGGCATTACCGAAAATTCAATCACACTTACTTGTGATGTTACATGGACAAGCTGAAGAGTTGGTGCTCAGCCGAACATCTGTAAAAGAAAATCTAGTTTTCTCCTCTACACCGAAATTACGCGCCTTTATTTTCAATTTTTTGATAGTGCTGATTACATAGAAAGCAAAGACCTAAGACTATGCAGAGAAAACTAAAAAGAAAAAACAAGGACTAAAAAAATATCCAAAAGTGACGAGTTCTTCAAACAATGCGCCACATGATACGTGGGGGAAAAACTCGTCCGGAGCGAGCGAGATTGCGTCGCGTGAGAGGAATCAAGCAGGGTTTTCTCAGCGGGAGGCCACCGATTTGGCTGCAAATTGGGGATTTGCTTAGTTAGACAGCCCACTACCTTCATGTGTACTTCTTCCGAAGACGGAGGATCTGCTGACACACTGCCTTTTAGGCGGAAACTCTGGATATCACGCCCAATCTTGACTATGTTTTGCGCGCGCAAAACTAGCTTTACGCTACATATAAGCTATTTTGTCGTAACTGGAGTTAACGGTTATTGGTAAGTGATTAGAAGCACTTAATGATTATAACATTGTGACAATGTTTGAGGTTATAAATCTAACAATTTCTTTTGGAAAATCAAAAAGTCTCTGCAACTGTTGTTTGAGAAAATTGACTAAAAACCGCTATTCGATTCCAAAAGGGATCTTATTGCCGCTGATATTCTGTATATGAACAAAAACGAATCGCGCAATATGGCAGTAAGTTTATTCTTTAACTAACGAAAGCATTTACACTTTTACAGTTGTTTGTGCTACAGCGTCACTATGATTGTTTGATGGGCACAGAGTTTCAACGCAAGATTGTGGCCTACAATCAAAAATCTCCAGAGGTGTGTTATAATTAAACAAGGTAGTGAAATGTAGTGATAACTATGATGACTGCGAAGGAGTAAGCCCTGATATTTAGAGTCATGGGTAATTAGGTCATTACTTTAATGCAACTAACTAAAAGCTAGCGATATTTTGCAAAAGAATTTGTGCAAAACGATGAAGTAAACATAGCCTTAGCTTCAAAAAACGAAATAAAAGTATGGAGAAAAGGCAGTAGGAGTAGTCCCAGTCAACAGCCATCAAACATCCTTGCTATAATATACACTGGATCCTTCCAAGCGCTACGGCAGAGTTTTCTGCGTCCCTCCTACCCTTAACCCCATGTGTGAAGGAGGGTCCAGTTGCTGAAGGAACTCCAGAAAAAGGGATGCGAAAATATAACGGTGGTCAATGATGGCGAGAGGAGAGGCCAGTAGCCATTATGCCGGCGAGAGATTCGCTTGCACTATGGGTGCGAAGCGACTATTTTTCAACTACTCGTCCTATAGTTACAAATGGCTGCGAAGACCGCGCCCCGTGCCCCAATGCGAATTTGGCCTGCGCGCAGGGCATTGAGGCGAGGCGCGCTACACTTCGCCCTAATGGACCGAATTTCGTTCCTTATCACATTTTCATCATTTTTCACGTTTCCTTCTGGCCTAATCATTACGTTATGATGTTCAGTGAACGAATCTCTTGCTTCAAAGTATCTTCACTTGTCACTTCGTTGTTCTCAAACGCAAAAGGTGTGATTCTCGAACGCAAAAGGTGTGATTTGACTTAGGTAGTTTTTTTCTGTTTGCTTCATTCTCTCAATGCTTTTCTGGTTTTGTAAGACTCTGGAATTCTTGACAGAAACTTTTGTTATACAAGTTAAGATCGTGGATTATAGTTGTGCTGGAGGTCAAAAAGAACATAATGATCTGTTTTGTTTTTCCACTTTGACTTTCGCCTCGATTCACTTCTTCGCGATTTATGCTGATATCATCATAACGTGTCAACGCGCGGAAGGTGTTTTTGAGCAATATTTATGTTTAGTCTGGCCTATACTGTAATTCCTTCCTTCCGACTCGATGGGCCATAGAAATGTGCGAGAAACGAGACTAGTCTGCTGTATGAAGGTGATAGGTATCTACCGATTGCAGGATACGTTTCTTGATGACTTGTTGTTTCTAAATTCTGTAGAATGCTTCCTAGTTTAGTTTTTAGAATCAAAATGGTTCCAGTCATCGCAGGTTGTATCTTTTTAAGCACTTGACTAGCTGCATTGATCGTGCTCTAAATCGATAGTACATGGATCATGTCATGAAGTACGGAGAGGATTTCTGGTTAGTTTCGCTTCTGCTGTGTTATACGTTGAACTACCATTTGCTAGAGCGAGCCAGATAGATGTCATCTGCTTACTTTATGATATAGAGCAATGTAATCACATTAGGTTAACCTTGGTGGATACTCGAGTGTTTGCGCACCTATTTACAGTCAGAAGACCACCGAGGTCAATTGTCATAACCATGTATACTCCTGTTTGTTAGGCATCCCTCTGCTATTGCGCATAATGTAAACTGAGAGATGTACTACTTACTCTACTTACGAATTTTATCGGAATCTATATGTACTAGTGATAGCGATGTTGTACTATTGATTAACTTGCTATACATCTTTTTTAGGTTGCAAAGAACAAATTCAATGCCAATGAGCAATCGAAAGGAGACAAAAGGTACCCGGTAAAAATAATTAGTAAGTTTTGTTCTTATTCTTCTGTTTTACATTTGCAATTCCAGCTCAAGTGCTTGTCGAGGTGATAACTTTCAGGTGACTTAGTTTGTGAAGTGCGAACTAGTCAATGTGTGAGGACTGTCTCGAAGTCATTTGCCACCTCACATCTTCATGCTTGGAGGTGATCTCTGCAGTCTGTTGGTTACCTATGCAAGCAATCTCAAGCGATTGGCAAGGTACTTGCGTATTTTTTTTTCAAATTTTTATTGAAAAAGATGGGAAAACTGAGTTGATAATTTCAGCTTTTCATTTATTTTTTCTGGTGAGCACGACTGACGAGGGTCCCGCAAATCTGTTGGATCAGAATGCGATGAAATAGTTATGGAATCCATGAACGACTAAACACACTGTTCACTTTTCGTGTCTTAGTTTCAGCAATAAAAATCATCTGTGTCAGACAACTACAAGCAATTGTTTATAAATTCATGACAAGAGCTCACTGTGGGCATCGCTTACAGACCGTACACGTAGGTCCTAGAAAGAAATACGGTGTCGAAAGAGGCTGATTTCGCAATAGATCAGTGTAAACTTATACCGGACATCCACCTCGTTCTCATTTAGACTTCTTTACTAAAAATTTATGCTCCTCCTCTCTGCTCATGTAGAAGTTAATCCAACATCTCGCAGCATCTAGTAGGAATCTTTAGAAGATTCGATATCAATTAAGTTTGCGAGCTCATTTTAAGTCCTTGCTCTCCTCTTGATAGATAATCTAAATGGCAATTTGTCTACTATTAGGTTGGCTAAGAAACAAGTTCGGTCATTTTTAACGATTTGTCGAAATTTTACTTATCAATTTATGTAATAGGGTATGGTACCATTGGAATGAACAAATTAAGTAGAATCAGATGATCAGCTCTGTTTGGGCATCATTCATCATTTTGACAACGATATCTGCAGGAAAGTGGAATAGTCAGATTTTTTTCACCAAATTTTTGTAAAATCATGCTTCGAAAAACGAATTTAAGTTGGGTATAAAATGCACAACTGGTTTTTACACAGCAAATTATGAAATTTTCAACAATTTCCACGACCATAGATGGCCAAATTCAAACGATCTGGACTGCACAAATACTGACTCTCACGCGGCAAATGCCTGAAAATTCTCATTTTTTTGGCTGGAGGAATTCAGATTCAGCAGATCTCAATCTCCATTATGGTTCGCCATGTAGCCAAAGGTTGTATATATTCAGTCACCAAATTAGTTGTCTGTGCACTCACTATAGGTTGAGAGCGGGACTTAGAAAGTCGAAAAAAACAAAATTTTAGAAGGATAGCTATATAAGGGTATAGTTGCCAACTATTGATAACGGATTATTGAGTAAACGATATGTGATAGTAGAGGCTAGAACCTATCTCCTCGCAAAGGGATCACAGCTAAACAGCTGTTTCTCGAGTTGTTACAGGATTTCGAATTTGCATGTCAAACCGAACTCATTTATTAGCCAACTAATATTATTTTCTCTTCTTACTGTATGTCACTGTAGTACAGAATGTCGAAAGAACACTCTCCGTTGTGCCCGCAAGAGCTCTTGAAAAAGAACCTTCATGCGCATATGAGGAATATAATGGGCTCTCATGGGAGGACTGCGTAGCCTTACGCACAAAACGCGTCATCAAATGCCCCTGCTGCTCCGCTTTGCTCGGCGACCATCACCAACTCGCGAAACATTGCCTAGTGAATCACTCAGAAGACGGCGCGGATGGCCGCCCACAGGACTATACAGTCCTCAACCAAAATTTTCAGACAAAGGCGCTTTTTGAGGTACATTTTAAAAGCAGTTTACCGAAGAAAGAAACGCTTTTTCGACGATATGTGCTCCAAATTCCAAACATCGTTTTTTTTTTGCCGCTCGAGAACCAAAGCATGGATGAATATGAGGTTTCTTATCACTTTATTTCGCGTAACAGTTGAAGTCATACTACCCTTTAGATGTAGCAGATCAGGTGAATTTCACCCAAAAGGCGCGCAAGAACGGATCACAACGTCTGGAAAAGATACTGCACATTGTTCATCATTTATGAACGTGATCTTAAACGAAAGCGGAATTGTCAAGTGACAGCATGCTTTGGGCATGCTGGTCATGCAATAAACCCCGCGCTCCTCAAACAATCCCAGACAGAAGAAGACTATCTGAAGGAACTTATTGGAAGGTGTGTCTATTTAGAGTCATAAAGCAGATCAATTTATTTACTTCGGAATTTACTTTTGACTGCATTCTAAAAAAGATGCGACAACAAAACAGTCCTGAAAAGTCGAAACTCTACTACATAAATAAGTCAGATCTGAGGTTTGGAATTAATTAATGCGCTCATTTTACTTTCAAAAACCCCTCTTACAGGAATCTCGTGGTAAAGTACAAAATTCATCCTAGTTGCCGCAACGACGACGACATGACGTCGTTGCACATGAGATCAGAAGAGCAAAATCCTGAAGATGGCATCAAAGTACTGAATCTAGCGCAAGATAAAAGCGAGAGGGTTTCTGGCAGGTTTTTGGGCAAATTTACACTCGCTTTTTCAGTAATACCTTTCATTTTAGTCATCATTACCCCAATACAAGAACAATGGATAAGAGAATTTGCCAACAAAGGCATTGCTCTAGATGATACATTTAACGTAACCCGATACAACTTGCGCATAGCGGCCCTTATGGTAGCAGACAAAAAAGACCGGGGTCTGCCAGGAGGTGAGATTTACGGTCTTGAGAATCACAGAAATTTTTTCTGTTTAGCATTCCTCCTGTCAAAGTCTATGAACACTGAAAATGTAAAGGCCCTGTTTGAGGAAGTGAAAAAATTGTACCCATGCTAAACTCAAAAGTATTTTTTTCCGACGAAGCCCTTTCTTTCTACAATGGCTTCAAGGCTGTATTTTCGGAAAGTGATACCAATCTCCTCTTTTGTCGATTTCACATCTTACAAACATGGCTTAGAAAGGCAAAGGCGTTAGTGCGGGTAAGCATGAGGTGCCTATGTTACCGCAAATTTCAAAATCTTTCCCCCAGATGATGTTCGCGATCCTCTTGCAAAAACCCTATCGGAACTCCTACGCATAGCGGATGAGGCACAGTTCCAGAATCGCTTGACAGAATTACTGAGTTTTCTTGATCAAAAAGGGCAATCGTCATTCGTCGAATACCTACAGCGCAACTAGTACTCTGCGTTGATACCACTGCTTGCAAGCTTAGAGATGCGCGCAAGTATCTTAGGAAGGATTAGTCAGTGGGCAGATTTTCAAAGGCAGATACTAATCTTCAATACAACGATAGTGGCAGAAAGATGGCATGGCAGGCTGAAAAGCGAGCACCTACACAGAAACTCTAAAGCCAGAGCAGATTTTTTTGTGTGACATCCTTATCAAAGCCCCTCAGGAACTCGCTGCATCTTATCTTATCATGGTATGTGTCATACCAAACTTGAAAAAAGTACCAACATGCAATTTTCTAGGACAAAAGGAATTTGGCAAGGCCGTTCCGGGTTCGCGAATGTAATGCAGCGCACAGAGCTGCCCTCAAGGATTATGAAAACAATAAGAAGCTTATCACAAACACTGGTAGCGAGAAATGGGATGTGGAAGCCCTGACATCCAACAGAACATTTCACGTTGAGATGTATAGCTCCAGCTGCCCATGCGACGCAAAAGTAAACTGCCAACTTAACGCTTCTTACGATGTCTTGTTATTTCAGGAAAATCTCCACTGCAGAGCTTGCGGAGTTTGCCCTCATAAGCTCAGATGTACCTGTGGAAGCGCAGCGAGGTCCGGCAACGCTGTGCCTATATGCATGCCGTCGTCATGTATACGGATTTATCTCAATCAAGTCAGCCAGTAATTGACCCAACACAGCTGGCAGCTGAGCCAGCACAGACGGAAATCGAGCTAGCACAGACAGAAGGCGAGCCAGCACAAGCAGAAGTCGAACCCCACACAGAAGAAGCCAGAGACAGCCGAGACATCCATCAAGTGACCAGCAGGGAGAGACGTATGGAGTTATGGAAGTCCGCTCAAATTGTTAGTTACCCTTTCATAAATTGATGTGTCACTTCATGAGTAGATTCCAGAGCTACACGGTAGTCAACGACAAGATCAAACGGCTCGTCAAACTGGATACAGATGAAACCATGGAGAGTCTAACGCAGATTGTTGAACGTCTCCAAGCAGTTGAAGTATTCGCTGCCTCGGTGGAGAATGGAGAATCCGGCCCCTCGATGGCTGCGCGACCAGAACTGACTCGCCAAGGCGCCAAGCTTCACCTCGAGCCAATTCGCGTGGAAAGGGTAAGTCCATTGTTGCGTTGTAAAAATAATAAATGAATTAATTGCAGCGCAGTGAGCTGAAGAAAAGAAGAGCCTAGGAAAGGACGAAAGCCTCAGAGCCAGTGACAGTCGATCCCAGTTTGAGAAGTTGAGATATGTTTGTTGAAGGACCCGGCGTTGCCTCCTGACATGGATCTGGAAGAATATGAGGCCCAAATCACTGAGTGGCTGAGATGTGATAACGAAGGATGTAAGATATGGGTCCACTCAGCATGTGGTCGAGCGAGGCCCAACGGGGCATGCACATATTGTAAAACAGGACATTACTCGCCTTGCCTTGAATAGCCAGAAAGCTTCCATTTTATAGCTCCTCATCTAATTGTCACCCTCTTTATGATCTCTTGCTAATCAACTCCGCCATTATTGTCAACTCGAAAATAAAGAGCATGTTTAGAAAGTGTTTATTTCTGAAAGAAAAAGTGATTTAAACTTTACTACCTGACATTCACCTACCATTAGGACCAAAATTTGTGCAATCATACATGTTTTCGAGGCTGTAAAAACAGCTCAGTACTAATGATAGAATCAGGAAGAGTGAGGATGAGATAAGAAAGAAATCATAGGGTAGGGAATATTGAAACCATGTGCCGATGGTTAAGCAGTACTGACATGGTCAAAACTTTTCGATAGGATCAAACAAACGACTCATCCCCTAGTACAAAATTATGTTTTGCTAAGCAATGCTAAGAGATCTACTTTTGTACGACTCTAAAAGAATAAAGAAATCAAGTCGATAAAATAGGTACAAAATATGTAGAAAAAAAGAAATCAAGTCGATAAAATAGGTACAAAATATGTAGGATATGAGACTTAAGACTATCTGAAATCTATTTATACACCTGAACTGAGCCAGGTCACCTCCAAGCTTGAAGATATGAGGTGGCAAATGACTTCGCGACACACATTAAGAACAAGGCGTGACTAGTTCGCACTTCACAAACTAAGTCACCTGAAAGTTATCACCTCGACAAGCACTTGAGCTGGAATTGCAAATGTAAAACAGAAGAATAAGAACAAAACTTACCAATTATTTTTGCCGGGTACCTTTTGTCTCCTTTCGATTGCTCATTGGCATTGAATTTGTTCTTTGCAACCTAAAAAAGATGTATAGCAAGTTAATCAATAGTACAACATCGCTATCACTAGTACGTATAGATTCCGATAAAATTCGTAAGTAGAGTAAGTAGTACATCTCTCAGTTTACATTATGCGCAATAGCAGAGGGATGCCTAACAAACAGGAGTATACATGGTTATGACAATTGACCTCGGTGGTCTTCTGACTGTAAATAGGTGCGCAAACACTCGAGTATCCACCAAGGTTAACCTAATGTGATTACATTGCTCTATATCATAAAGTAAGCAGATGACATCTATCTGGCTCGCTCTAGCAAATGGTAGTTCGACATATAACACAGCAGAAGCGAAACTAACCAGAAGTCCTCTCCGTACTTCATGACATGATCCATGTACTATCGATTTAGAGCACGATCAATGCAGCTAGTCAAGTGCTTAAAAAGATACAACCTGCGATGACTGGAACCATTTTGATTCTAAAAACTAAACTAGGAAGCATTCTACAGAATTTAGAAACAACAAGTCATCAAGAAACGTATCCTGCAATCGGTAGATACCTATCACCTTCATACAGCAGACTAGTCTCGTTTCTCGCACATTTCTATGGCCCATCGAGTCGGAAGGAAGGAATTACAGTATAGGCCAGACTAAACATAAATATTGCTCAAAAACACCTTCCGCGCGTTGACACGTTATGATGATATCAGCATAAATCGCGAAGAAGTGAATCGAGGCGAAAGTCAAAGTGGAAAAACAAAACAGATCATTATGTTCTTTTTGACCTCCAGCACAACTATAATCCACGATCTTAACTTGTATAACAAAAGTTTCTGTCAAGAATTCCAGAGTCTTACAAAACCAGAAAAGCATTGAGAAAATGAAGCAAACAGAAAAAAACTACCTAAGTCAAATCACACCTTTTGCGTTTGAGAACAACGAAGTGACAAGTGAAGATACTTTGAAGCAAGAGATTCGTTCACTGAACATCATAACGTAATGATTAGGCCAGAAGGAAACGTGAAAAATGATAAAAATGTGATAAGGAACGAAATCCGGTCCATTAGGGCGAACTGTAGCGCGCCCCGGCCTCAATGCCCTGCGCGCAGGCCAAATTCGCATTGGGGCACGGGGCGCGGTCTTCGCAGCCATTTGTAACTATAAGCTCCTGCAAGACGAAGGCGGTCGGTTCGACATGGCTGCGTCACAGCAGCGTCACAGCCGCGTCACAGCCACGTCGCACCTCGACCAACCGCTTCGTCTTGCAGGAGCTTATACAGTCGATTTCATCACGGATTAGGGTTGAGCCAGACTTCGCTGGGAAGCGGCGTACGCGGCGTACGCAGCGTACGCTCGGTATATTTCATCATAAGAGCATACACGGCGTGCGCTTCGTACGTCGCGTACGCCGCGCAGTCTGGCCCAACGGAACAATCCACGAGGAGCGGCGCGTGCACCGCTAGAGGCTTCGCGAGCGCATAGGATGGCATTTTGCCAAGCAAAGACTGAGGAGAATGAATAGACGCAGACCTCGGTTCTCAGCACCATAGATTATACTGTAGCTGCGGAACGGCGCGAGCTGTTGCGAGGCGGACGCCCGCCAATCCAATTTCCGCCTAAAGCGGGTCGAAATTTACTGTATAGGTACGAGTTTTTCAACTTTGAGCTAAGCGGCTAAAAATTAGCACGGGGGTGCATGTGTGCACGCTGATCACAAAAACATTAGATTTCAGAATTATCGATGACCTATCGGCCACCTTTATCGATTTTGTTGCTGCACTTGCTATGCGTTGAAATGGCACGTGCCATGGTATACGGCATACCAGCCACCATCGGTCGTGGGTACCCACGGAAGGAGGTTGCGAAAGCGCGAAGCGGGCAGTACCCGAGCGCGAAAGCGTCGCTGTATCTGTGGCTAGTGTTGTATATCGTTCTGTTTTCTAGCTGATTTGTACAGAGGCTTCTTTTGCGTATCTGATGAACTTCATTTCGTACTCAATTGCATGTTGGAATATCTTGTTTTCCATATTTCACACGAGATGAGAAGTATAAGAACACCAATTTTTTTTTCAAACTGATGATGGAAAAGGTAAGTCGATGATGCTTTCTGCGGCTGTGACTTGAATTTGGCACTTTGACTATATGCCAATTCTGAGATTAGGAGACTTCAAAACATTGCACACGTTGTTTAACAAACTACTAAAGTTGTAGTTGTTTCTCATCTAATCTCTAGTCGTAAACCAACCAAATGGGTAAAGAATAATTAACATTTTCACACCACACTTGTGCAAAGCGTGCTTGAGTCTCCTCAACTCGGAATCAGGGCCCGGCATAGATCGTCTGGAAGCAGGCTGGACTTCGTTTTTGGAGCAAAAATCGAAGGAGATATCGTTTTTGACGAGTAGGGGACGAGCACCAAAACTTAGCGCCATTTAGTCTAACACAAGCTTTCCGGACAAGTTATCACACGATTGACATGCTCTATCGTGTATGGCGAAACGTGCGCGCAATTTGAAAGCAAGACTAAATTAAACTACTTGTTTGCAGTGCACACAGAATCATATGACACCAAAATTGAACTGTATGTATAGAAAATTATTTGCGGAAGGATTATGTAAAAAGATTTGAAAACTTATGTGAAGTAATAGCTTTTCCAAAATTAGATCGTCTCCAGACGGCTACCAGACGATCTGAGATCGTCTGGAGCATATATTTTCGTCACTTCACATAAATTTCGGATCTTTTTAGCATGACGGATTCTCAGGTCAAAAATCTATCGAGAATGAAGACATTTTCATAACATTGTCTTTCCTTTGTTTTTTGGCTCAATTTGTCCATAAATCGTATTGTTAAATATCTATGTATGCTCCAATGCCAAACTCTTGTGCATGCGTAGTATTCAGCTCTAATTTAGATTTTCACTCTTATCTCACGTTTTTTCTTTCAGACTAGTAAATCTTTCTTGTTTTCATCTTCTCCTAAGCAGGTAGGTCAAAGGGGACTTCGTAAAACTCCCGAAGGTCAGGGAGACATCGTTTCCAGAAACTCTAGAAACCGACTCGTGCCGTGCCCTGCTCGGAATAGATGATAATTTTCTGCTATGCATGAGCAAAAGATGCGCTTCACCGTCCCTGCTCAAATATTCTTCATTCGAACAGCGCCACCATCTGAGATGTCTAGTAATCGATACAAGTACGGAATCTAATGCCTAACAAGAGTAGATAAGGTAAACACGGGATGATCAACGTCATGAGTCTAAGAACAGGGCTAGCTTTCGCGCTCGAGTGCAGTCTCCTTTGCTCGCTTCGCGCGCGCTGCCTCTTCCCCTGGGTACCCGCGACGGATTGTGGTCGGTATGCCCTATAGGTGAAATGGTTGTGTACGGAATCACTACAGCTATCAATCTCTCTGTCGGCTTGTATTCCATTCGCAAGACGAGCTTACATTTTTAGTATTGCCTAATGACTTTCTGTTACCTTCACTCTGCACATGTAGCCTAATCAGCCTTCTTTTGCATGTTTTAGGAAAACTAGGGAAAACTCATTTTTCGAGCAAGTTTGCAGAAAATCCTGATTGTTCAAAGAAAGAACCGAGCATTCCATGATTATGGTCTTGAAGGGGGAGGAGATAGATTTGGGAAGAACAATCATCCTGAGCACACATCTCAAAAAAATGCATCACAAACGTATCTAAAGGAGAAGTGCTCAAAATTCGCTTGGTTTTTAGTAAGGAACTTAGTATTTTACCAAGTTTGGTTCAAAGGGAGGTAAAATTCGAGGTTCGCGAAGCAGAGCCTTATTCGGAAAGACTAATCACTCTTTTCTGCACAAATTTGACGAAGTCATCAAATCTCGTTTTTCAAAAAAGGTTTCGGAAAAACTTGAAACTTTAATGAAGATGAGTTTAATCATTCTTGGTTTCGAGGGCAGGTAAGATTTGTTCGGCCTTGCAGATCCTTTCCATAGTGTCCATGTCTCTTTCATTTCAAATTATGAAAAACTCATTTTTCGCATGGTTCGCATGTCGTCTCCATAGCTGGTCGTCTTCCGTAAGCACGTCGTACACGGCTTTTCCGTAGCGTTTCTTCACACGAGCTGGAATCCATTTTTTCGCATCCCGAGCGAAAATCATGTACCCACACGGCTTCTTGTGGCTGGTACGCTCTCTTTCGTGCTCCATGGTGGCGGTTGAAGTACTTCTCCATGTTTTCGTTGCCCACTCCTTCTTCTTTGGAGTCTTCATTCAGCAGCGACAGCGGTGTCCTTATCTGACGTCCCAGGAGCAGCTCGGCAGGCGAACGTTGTTCTGGAGCAGTTGTAGTTCGGAGAATCTCCAGGCGATAAGATCGCTTGATATATGCTCGACCCTTTAGGCATCGAGATACCTCACGCGCTTCCAGTCGCCACGCGATTTGGCAGTCTGCCATATCTCTTTAATCCAACACTGCAGACCACAAATTCACATTATGTACAACTTCTGCAGATGGATAAAATGCCCCACCTTTCGCTCAATCAGAATGTGCTTAGGCTGGGTTCATACTGATTCCGGAGTTCCGGAACGGTTCCAGCTGTGCCGAAATTGTGCTGCGCACTGAGCCGCCCGCATGCGGTTTTGAGCAGCGTGAGGTTAAAAAAGTCCTAGAGTTGGGGAGCAAGTTTATCATATTTTATGCACTAAAAATTAAACATGTTCCGTTTTTTTAAAATCTATTCGTTATTGAACCTAGTAAATACTAGTTCATCGCTAGCTTCAAAAAAGACATAAGCGCTACCGGTATAGTTCTTAGCCCCGAAACCGGATAGTGTAAAAATAAATGCTAAAATTTTGTATCTTGACAAATAGATTCTAATTCTCGTTTCTAACTTCACATTTGTTTCATTAAGGACAAAAAGTCACATGCTCAATTTTCTTCTCGCTCAGATCAAACACTATTTTTTTCTTTCATTGATGTAGAGTTGTTCCAGACTGTTTTCTTCAAAAATACATCTAATCCTTTGCTAGATGCAATAAATGACTCCCCCACCCTAATTCCAAAAAAGTATGGACACAAAAAGTTGATTAATTGTTCACCGAATACAGCAGAATTTCAGGGTATCCTTTTGCAGTGAACTACAAATACTTAGAATCATCCAAGGAATGTAGGAGAACCCATTTCAAGGTGCCCATCTTTGCGCCTGTGCTTGCATGCAAACTAGAAAAATCACAAAAAAGCCAACACTTTTTTTCTACTGACTAACTATCTGTACAATGCTGTACAGTGTCTTGGAGAACACGGTCATTTGGCAAGTTTGGCCATGTCGGGCACGGCATTTGGGCAGCGGAGCCCGACTTCGACAGGTCGGGCTCAGGGCCCGGCACGAGTCGGTTTCTAAGGTTTCTGAAAACGAAGTCTCCCTTGACTTCCGGAAGTTTTACGAAGTCCCCTTTGACCTACCTGCTTAGAAGATGAAAACAAAAATTATTCACTAGTCT